AAAAAAAAAAAAAGATTTTGGATGGTTAACACCCAAGAGCTGATATCAGATCGTTCTTGCCGGTTTAAATGTGAACCACGGTGTCTTGTTTCCCTTGGCCCAGATTTCTCGATGCGTACGCCGAGCAGAATTTAACCTTCTGGGCCATCACCGCTCAAAACGAGCCTTCCTCCGGATTTGTGAAAAATTATCCTTTCCAGACTTTGGGGTTCAGCGCAGAATCGCAGCGTGATTTCATTGCTCTGGACCTCGGCCCTGCCCTGGCCCGAAGTTCGCACAAGGAAGTTCGTCTAATTACTCTCGATGACAACCGAATGCATCTCCCTAAGTGGGCAAAAGTGGTGAGTGGGAGGGGGGCTTAACATTTCAAAACTGGATCTAAAAAGAGGGGTTGGGTCCCCCACCCTTCTGGGTTCCCATCCCTTCTTCCTTTTCGTTTAACTTTTTTTTTCTTTTTTAATTATTTTTTAACAAACCAAGCCGCTAGTCCTTAAGGCTCGGAAGGTGAGTTGGAAAGAGCTAGCTAGACGGTGCCAGAATTCTATAGCAAGCAAAAAAAAACAACAGGTGAAATTAACTTCTGGGTTTTCTTGAAAGCTGAGAATGCAGAATTACTGGAAGTTATAAAAATTCTGATTTCCCCCCCCCCCCCTGGATATCCTGAGTCTCCCCATAGAATGAATATCTGATCAAAAAAATGGACCAGCAGAGATTTCAAGGTGAATTTCAAGGTCTTTGCTTACAACTTGCCCTGCAGTGTAGACTCGCAGAGAGGTTAAACAAATCCCAGCAAAAAAATAGGAAGAGCTTTGATTTCCGGTCTGAAATTATTGAGCAAAATTTAAGGCGTCTGTAACGCCGACCACATGCTAATGAGCAGAAAAATCAAAATGAAATACGGAGGGGGACGTGTGAAAAACACAATTAAAATTAATTGTCCTAGAACATAAGACTTTTGGAACAGGAAGAGGGCGGATAAATCCATTAGGAAAGGTACGCTATGTTCTAGCTTAATTTTATTGGCACATTTCCTTGACGCCTTCATTTTGAAAGATTATCTGGCACGGCTTCTTTCGGTTAAGGCTCTAGGTCACAATCGGGAAGGTGATGTTTTGGGGATCTCTTGGTGGTCTCCTGTCCAACAGCCAAACGGGCCTTAGGTTTTCAAGCTTCGTAAGAGTAAGAATGTGAGGTTTTCAAACAGATTCCCCCTTGACAAGTGGAAGATGGAGGGACTTCAAGTCCCAGAATTCTCCAGCTAGTATGCTGGTTGGGGAATTCTGGGTGTTTAAGTCCATTTGTCTTAAAGCATGCTGGCTGGGGGATTCTGGGAGTTGAAGTCCACCCCTCTTAAAATTTGCTGGCTAGGGAATTCTGGGAGTTGAAGTCCACCCGTCTTAAAGCAGGCTGGCTGAGGGATTCTGGGAGTCGAAGTCCACCAACTTGCCAAAGTTGAAAAACACTTCTAACTGGGTTGATGTAGGGATTCCTGCAGGTCTCCAGGGCTTGGCCTGCATTCCCTCCTGACTCTGATGCTGTAAAGTCAACACTCATCCGTTGGGGCTTCCCAGCTGTGTGATGACCCACCCTGCCCTTTTTCCCGTCAAGGTGTTGGGCGGTGACAGTCAAGCCTACCGCTACATTCACGGCATCGGCCTCCACTGGTACATGGATTTCATCAGCCCCGTGAAGGACACGGTGGACGCCACCCACCGTATCTTCCCCGACTACTTTCTGATTGCCACCGAAGCCTGTGCCGGGTCTTTCTTTTGGGAACGGGATGTTATCCTCGGGTCCTGGGACCGAGGGGAGGACTACAGCCACAGCATCTTGGAGGTAGGATGCTGGGTGTGTGGAAGAGAGCGGGGCTTGAGCTGAGGAAGAAGGGCAGGGAGGGAAGAGAAAGGATGGGGAGGGGAGGAAGGAAGGAAAGGCAAGGAGAGAGGGAGGAAAGGATGGAAGGAAGGGAAGGAAGGAAAGAAAGAAAAAAGGAAAGAAGGAAGGAAAGGCAAGAAGAGGGAGGGAAGGCAAGTAGAGAGAGAGAGGGGAGGACAGAAGGGAGGAAGGAAGGAAGGAAAGGCAAGGAGAGGAGAGGGAGGGAGGGAAGGAAGGAAGAAAAGGAAGGGAGAAAGAAAAAAGAAAGAAAGAAAAAGAAAAAGAAAGGAAAGAAAGAGGAAGGAAAGGCAAGGAGAGGGAGAGAAGGAAGGAAGGAAAGGCAAGGAGAGGGAGGGAGAGAAGGAAAGAAAGAAAGAAGGAAAGAAGGAAGGAAGGAAAGAAAGAAAGGCAAGGCAAGGAGAGAGAGAGAAGGACGGAAGGAGAGGAGAGGGAAGGAAGAAAAGAAAGGAAGGGAGAAAGAAAGAAAAAGAAAAAGAAAAAAAGAAAGAGAAAGGAAAGGCAAGGAGAGGGAGAGAAAGAAGGAAGAAAAGGCGAGGAGAGGGAGGGAAGGAAGAAAAGAAAGGAAGGGAGAAAGAAAGAAAAGAAAGAAAGAGGAAGGAAAGGCAAGGAGAGGGAGGGAAGGAAGGAGAAAAGAAAGAGGCAGTGGGAGGAAGAGAAGGGATGGAAGGGACAATGGAAAGAAGGAAGAGCAGAAAGAAAAGAGGGAGGGGGAGGGAGAATGGGAGGGAGGAGAGAAAAAAAGAGACAGAGGCGATGGGTGGAAAAGAAGGGAAGGATCAGAGTACAATGGAAGAAAGAAAGGGAAAGGGTAGCAAAGAGAAGATGAGGGGAGGGAGGGAGGAATGAGAATTGGAAGGGAAGGGGAAAAGAAGGAAGGAGGGAGAAGGGAGGGAGGGATGGAGGAAGGAAGGGAAAGAGGGAGTCAGGAAGGATTGTAGGGGAAAGGGAGAGAAAAGAATGGAGGGAGAGAGACCCTGATTCCTTCCTTCTCTTCTCTCTAGAACCTGAATCACCACGTGGTCGGTTGGATCGACTGGAACCTGGCCCTGGATTTACAAGGGGGACCCAACTGGGTGAAGAACTTCGTGGATAGTCCGATCATTGTCGACCCCACTGGCGACATCTTCTACAAGCAGCCCATGTTCTACCACTTGGGCCACTTCAGGTGGAACCCCCGGGCAGGGGTGGGGGCCCGTGGCCCTTGAGCCCCAAAGGAGTGACCTCCGGGCGTTAGGCGTAGCGATGAAGCTTCAAATAAGAAGCTGGTCCTCTTGGATCTGTAGAAGACCCACCAAGGGAGAAATGCAACAACGGGAGAGGCGTCTCCGCCTCGTGACAATTCGGTCTAAATTGGGTGAAATCCAGTTGGGATGAAATGATGGATGGGGCAGAAAGGACCCTCTTTAAGGATTCTGGGGGAGGGTTACTTTAGGGGTCTATTAGGTTTAAGACCACCCTCAATCATAGATGCTCAATGGAAGTTCAAGGTCAATCGGCTAACCTTTAGCTCAGCCAGCCGATCTTAAGATCAACCAGCTGACCTTAAGCTCAACTGGCAATCTAAGCTCAGCCATCTAACCATAAACTCAACTGACTAATCTTAGGCCCAACTAGCCAACCTTAAGCTCAACCAGCCCACCTTAAGCCTGATCCAGTTGACCTTGTTCAACTTACTAACCTTAACTGGTCAACCTTAAGCTCAACCGATTAACCTTAAGCTCAACCAATTAACTTTAAGCTCAACTGATTAACTTTAAGCTCAGCCAATTGACTTTAAGTTCAGCCGATTGACCTTAAGCTCAACCGATTAACCTTAAGTTCAACCGATTAACCTTAAGCTCAACCGATTAACTTTAAGCTCAACCGATTAACCTTAAGGTTAGCCAATTGACCTTAAGTTCAGCCGATTGACCTTAAGCTCAACCGATTAACCTTAAGCTCAGCCAATTGACTTTAAGTTCAGCCGATTGACCTTAAGCTCAACGGATTAACCTTAAGTTCAACCGATTAACCTTAAGCTCAACCAATTAACCTTAAGCACAATCAACTAAGCTCTATGAGCCAATCTTAAGCTCAACTGGTCAAGCTTAAGTTCAACCAACTAACCTTAAACTCAACCAACCAACCTTAAACTCAGTGGGTCAACTTAAATTCAACTGGCCAACCTTAAACTCAATCAATCAACCTTAAACTCAACCAGCCAACCTTAAGCTCAGGATTTCCAAACCAGGGTAGATCCTTGCATTGGGATCTCTCCATCATGGCCTCCTTTTTTTCCCCTCTTAGCAAGTTCATCCTTGAAGGATCTCAGCGCGTTGGGCTGACGGTGGTTCAACCTTACTTTAGTTGTAACCTGGAACATGTTGCGGTGCTTCGCCCCGATGGATCGGCAGTGGTGGTGGTCCTTAACCGGTGAGTGTCGGTATTCTGAAGGGCGATGCTTTCAAACAGCGAAGTTTCTAGTTCTCAAGAAGGCTTCCCCCCCCCCATCAAACACCTTCTCCTCCAACGCAGGCTATCAAGGCTCACGCCACAAAGTTAGCATGTCGCGTGAACAAAAAAGTGTGTCTGCCATCTCGATTTGAGTTGTGATCACTTCTTGCCATGACTGTGTTGACTGCCGGGGGCGGCATATAAATTTAATAATGAGCCCATTTTAGTGGTCTGAATCTGGCTGTAGCTTTTCACACCAAACTAGGTATCAAAGCCTCTTGCCACCCAGAAATCTGGGAGAGAAAATTCTCTTTAGAAACCCCGCAGGAATTCGGAGCAGAGAAACGTCGTGATGAGTATGTTGGACGTAAAAGAAGAAGAAAAAAGTGACAGTTGTGGGTCTGTTTCTCCACTGCTTTGTGACTGTGTTTCTGCTTCTGTTTCTCCTCTCTTTCCCCTTCTCCTTTTCTTGTTCTTTCCCTCTTTTTTTGCTCCTCTCCTCTTTCCCATCTTTTCCTCCTCCCCTTCTTTTTCCACCTCTTTTCTCCGCAGGTCTTCGTTCAACGTCACCTTCGGACTTACTGACTCGGTTGGTCTTATTTTAACTCAAATCCCTGCCAACTCCATCCAGACGTATCTCTGGCGGCGCCAGTAAAAAAAAGAGTTAGCACGCTGGGTGCCAGTTGGCAGAAAAAGTCGTCGATCCAGCAAGATTGTTTACTAACCTTCTTGGGAGCTGAGATGGTGGTTCAGCCCAACGGATGACGTTCTTCTAGGAGATGAACCTTGACCATGGCTGAAGAAGCAGAGATTTGATGTTTTCTGGGATCAGCAACACCACGATGCCCAAAGTGTCTGCCAGTACATCAGTCATGGCTAAAATTAACTGAAACCAAGGAGTTCCTTCCAATTTTCTGGCTGGGAATCTCTTGACGAGACTGTTGGCCTTAATGTGATGTGGCCCAACCCTTTGGAAATGCACTTGGTTAAGCCTCAAACGCTGGCTTGCAAGCCACGAAGGATCGTTTCTCACGCCTCCAAGCCACATTGGGACTTTCATCTGATGGAATTGAACCTGGATGAGCTTGGCTGAGTCCACCTTGTTCTGGATTCCTAGGTACTTCGTGATCAGCATTTCCAATTAAGCGATTGGGAACATATTATACCCAAGGGTTTTTTTTTTCATTCTGCGTCTTCCTTCCCCCCCCCCCCTGTGTAACGCACAACGTGACACCGACACTTAGCTGATTATATCTACTATGATCTACCCTTCTCCAGTTTCGGATTACGTGTCCTGCACATGGGAGAATTAAAATGCCTTGTGGATTATTATTACTATTATTAGTGGTTTGTCGCACACTCGGCCAGATGTTCAGACTGGATTTGGCATTTTAATACAGCCTCCATAGACAGATGTGGTTGTTTGATGTTGTTAAAGCTCTCCTCACATGTCAGCCGTTCCGAGTCCAGCTGCCTTTTGCACTTGACCGATGGGGATTTTGTCAAACCCTGATGATATTATTAATATTACAGTTCCTTGCACAGTCAGCCAGATGTTTAGACTGGATTTGGCCGTTTTCTCCACCTATTGAGCCCTTCCCAAGGATCTGGGGTAGGCAGATGTTTAATAACATTAAAGATAACTTTGCAGGATACCAATTGTTCCAAAGGCAAGCTGCCTTTTGCAATTGACGGATGGGGACTGGGTCAATGCCGACGGTGTTCAGTTATTGTTATGGTTTGTTGCACAGTCATCCAGATGTCTTGACTGGATTTGAACTTTTTTTGTCCACCCACTGAGCCTTTCCCAAGGACCTGGGATAGGCAGATGTTTAATAATATTAAAGGTAACTTTGTAGGATTTAAGCTGTGCTGAGTCCAGCTGCCTTTTGCAATTGACCGATGGGGATTTTGTCAACGCCAAAGGTGTTCAAGGGATGCACCAAATGTTTTTGGGATTGCACCCCAGCTGCCTGTCACTATGGAAACTACCTTTGTTTTCTTTTATTACTGTTATAATATTTTGCACGCGGACTCTTTTCAGTCCATCTTCTCAAGACTGTCTATGCTCAGCTGCCTCGATCAAACCAACATTTGTTTCCTCTCTAGAACCCTCATTGAGAAATTGGCTTCTTTGCACGTAGCTTTCAAACCCGTTTGAAGACGGATGACTTGCAGTCGGAGTTTAGCGAACCTCAGATTGGATCTGTGACTTCTTGCAGATTTAGAAATAATACCCTTTTGGTGCGAATAAAAAACAAAACAAAACACATTTAACAACCCTCTTTGTGTTCTGCCTTATTTTGTATCGTAACACAAGCAGCCCAGCTGCGAATTTCACTGGGTTTTTTTTCCAAGCCTTTTGTTCAAAAGCATCCTAACTTTTTTTGTTGTTTTGGTTGCTATAATTGCACTTTTCTTGGTGGGGCGTGTGCCTGTGTGTTTCGGTTGTTGTCTTCCCCTAGATAGGAGCATGAAATGAGATGCTTTGTTTGCTGGGACTAAAAAGAAGACTTGTTTATGTCCCATTTGGAAAACATGAAATTTCTGCTGGTGGGATTTTGGGGTGTGACTTTCTTCGGCTTGTTTTTTTTATCCCCCACTGCTAATCAAAGGCACACACCTTGTGTTGGTTTTCTGCTAAAAACTGACTTGACCTCTCTAGGGAGACCGGTGAAAAGCAACTTTCAACGCTGGGTGGGTGGGTGCAAAACGAACCCCCGTCTCGCTCGATGTTTTTTGTCAAAGCTTGACATGTTTAAAAGAGTTTTGGATGTCCTGGGCTACAGCCAAGCAAAGCGTGCCAAAGATTTTAACAGAATCAGAGTTGGAAGGGACCTTGGAGATCTTCTAGTCCAACCCCCTATTACTCTATACAGGTAATCAACCTGGAACTAAGGACCAAATTTCCTGACAATTCGAACAATTAACCAGTGGAGCAACTTGCCTCCAGAAGCTGTGGGTGCTCCAACAATGGAGGTTTTTAAGAAGAGATTGGACAGAAATTTTCTGGGATGGGACAGGGACTCCTGCTTGAGCAGGGGGTTGGACTAGAGGACCACCAAGGTCCCTTGCAATTGGTCGCCACAATATTAAAAAAAAGATGTTGAGACTCTAGAAAGAGTGCAGAGAAGAGCAACAAAGATGATCAGGGGACTGGAGGCTAAAACATACGAGGAACGGTTGCTGGAATTGGAAATGTCTACTTTAAGGAAAAGAAGGACTGGGGGGGGACATGATAGCTGTATTCCAGTATTTGAGGGGCTGCCCCAAAGAAGGGGGGGTCAACCTGTTCTCCAAAGCCCCTGAAGGCAGGAGAAGAAGCAATGGATGGAAACTAGTCAAGGAGAGAAGCAACCTGGAACTAAGGAGAAACTTAATTGACAACTGGAACAATTAATCAGTGGAACGGCTTGCCTCCAGAAGTTGTAGATGCTCCATCACTGGAGGTTTCTAAGAAGAGATTGTCTGAAATGGGGTAGGGTCTCCTGCTTGAGCAGGGGGTTGGACTAGAAGACCTCTAAGGCCTCTTTCAGCTCTATTCTGAATTTGAATCCAGTGTTCTCCCCCCCCCCATTGATTTTGCATGTGAGAAGGTCACAAATTTTGATCACGTAACCATGGGGGAAAGGCGGCAGTAGTCGTAAGTGTGAGGACCAGTTCTGAGTCGCTGTTTGCAGTGCCGTTGTTACTTCAAACGGCTGTTAAACGAACAGATGCAAATGGAGGGCATCCTGTAATTTAAAAAGTGTGTGCGTTTGAATGAAATCTTTCCTTATCACTCACCCCTCCTGTTGTCCAGAAGGAAATATAAAAATAGTTAAACCAGTTTTGGAGATGAATTTATGAGATTTAAACGGCCGTTGTTCTTGTTTTGTGTGTGTGTGTCTGTGTCTGTGTGTGTGTGTGTGTTGCCAAGTTTTTTGTTTTTGTTTAACATACAACAACAAAAGAGAACCCAACCTAAGAAATACATCATTGTGTTCATTAATTATCCTTGATTTGGTTCAACTGGAAAAAATAGTTACCTTTTCTCTCTCTCTCTTTTTTTTTTTTAACCTTTGTTGTCACTTTTCCTGCTGAATTTGCAGAAGCGAACTCAACTTTGGATCCTGCACCTCTCAAGATTGAAAAGAAAGCTTCACTGTCCAGTTTGCAAAAGGCAGTTTTAAAAAAATCTGGGGATAATTTTTTTACAAAAATCACCGGAATCATGTCGTTTGAGGAACGGATGGGTGTTTTGCGTTTAGCGTCAGTCACAAAGTGCTAATACATTTAACAAAAATCAAAGGCATGCATTTCTGCTTGTCCCACCCCCTAGCCATTACCTCAGAGAGGACAAAAGACCGTATTGCTCTTGGCGCATTAACCATTCCAACCAAAATGCCAGTTAAACAGCTTTAAATAGCTTACAAAGTACACCCAATTAATTTTGAAGGAACATTTTCTTCTGTCCTCAAGAAACAGGATAAGAGCTCCAGACCTCCAAAGAGTCCCCAATTCAGTTCTCTCGAAGCAAAACAAAATTAATTAAGCGAGAGTCTTCAGTTTTGCCACTTTTAAGATATGTAGACTTTTGAAGCCTTTAGTAATAACTTTTTTTTTTAAAAAAAAAAGATGAGTTGCGATGCGCTGAAGCTTCCTATCGGTAAGAGGTTTGCTCGTAAACTTTAATTTCATTTGCGGCTGTTCCCGAGTTCCTTTGTCAAAGCATTGTTTTATTTACACCGACGCACATTAGAAGTGACTCAAAGGTGTTAGTTTTTCTTCCCAAACACGCACACCCATTGAACCCAGACTGAATTCTGGCGTATGGAATGGAATAGAAAATAGAATGGAATATAGAATGGAAAGACCAGGATAGAGAAAGCCCGAACGGCGTTCTTCAAAATGAAAAAGGTCTTCTGCAGTCACGACATAAGCCTAAGACTGAAAATCAGGCTTGTCAGATGCTATGTTTTTTCTATCCTGCTCTATGGAGCAGAGAGTTGGTCTCTGACAGAAGGCCACCTGAAGAGACTAGAAGAGTGGTACTCAACCTGTGGGTCGGGACCCCATTTGGGGTCGATCGACCATTTCACGGGGGTCGCCAAGCAAGGCTGTCTGCCATTTTTCCCCCCTTTTCCGGCGGGTGCCTTACCTCCCTTGGGCTGGGCCAGCGGGTGGTCGGCCTGCTCCGTCTCTGCCGCTTGCCAGCTACGCCTCGGCCGGCACAGGGGGCGGAACCACGCATGCGCGGCACTCCCGGGCAGGGAAAGTCCTCGACTTACGACCGGTTGGGTAGTCCTCGACTTACGACCGGTTTAGTCCTCGACTTACGACCGGTTTAGTCCTCGACTTACGACTGGTTGGGGTCACGGCATTAAAAAGGTTGAGAACCACTGGACTAGAAGCATTTGAAATGTGGATTTACAGGCTGTTATGTATAAGCTGGGTTGACAAGATCAGAAATGAGGAGGGGATAAGCCGCCTGGGAAAGCCAAGGGAAATCATCAAAACGATTAAAAAACAAAAATTAGAATATTTCGGACACATGATGCAACACCCAGAAAAATACGGCATACTCCATTTAATCCTCCAGGGAAAGATGGAAGGCAAACGAGGTCCAGGCAGAAGAAGAACCTCGTGGCTTCAAAATCTAAGGGACTGGTTTGGACAAAACTCAGCAGCACTTTTTCGTGCGGCTGCTGATAAAAACAGGATCGCCAACATGAGCGCCAACGTCCGATAACGGATATGGCACAAGAAGAAGAAATAGAATGGAATATAAAATAGAATAGAATAGAATAGAATAGAAAATACAGAATATAGAATAGAATATAGAATAGAATAGAAGTAGAATAGAACAATAACTTTATTCTCACTTTAAATGTACACTAAGCAGCATTAAAATGAGCTTTTGCTGCATACAGCTCTCAAAGTGTAACCCACCTCCAATATACACTGCATAAACCTAACAAGAAAAATGAAATAAATTATGCATATACCCACATACAAACACGTAATATGGCCCAGAAAGATGACATGTTGTAAGCGGAGGGTTAGCTGTATTTGAAAAGCCATTAATAAGCACTTTGCAAAAGTTATTAGAAAAATCTATGTAAGCCCAGTGTCATCTTGAAGATGTTAATCCTATTTTAAGGAAGATGGACGTTCTTTTTCAGCCTTCTGAAGAATTAAACCTGCTGGAGACTATTGAAATGTGGTGTCTTATGAGGAACAACTGCCCGGAGCACTTTTGGGGAATCTCATATCCTTCTCTGCTTCTTCATTCCGCTGGAATTACTGGCACTGCTTCCATTTGCCATTTCTATCCTGGAAGTCTGGCTTCCTTCAATTTCATCCAGGTAAAAATTGACAGGCAAAGGAAGTTTCTTAATTGCTTTTTTGTGGTCAAGAAGGTCAGGACGTCCAGCTCTTATATCAGAGGAGCGTCATAAAATTCTGCTGCTAGAGCTGTCGACATCCGTCCCAGCATTCAGGAGTTGAGACAGGAGCAGAGATCTCCTGATTCCTATTCTGTTCTCCCTGGGAACCAGCATCAGCTTTCCAAGCTCTGGAATAAAGTGTTTGGCAGGTAGGAATAACACAGAATCCCGTGTTTGTTACGGTGCCAGGTAAGGGCAGGGCGGTGATTCCAGGATCCTAGAATGGGTGGAAAAAGTGATTCCAGGATCGCAGAATGGGGGAAACAGTAATTCCAGGATCGCAGAATGGGGGAAAAAGTGATTTCAAGATTGCAGAATGGGGAAAAAAGTGATTCCAGGATCACAGAATGGGGGAAAAAGTGATTCCAGGATCGCAGAATGGGGAAAAAGTGATCTCAGGATGGGAAAAATGTGATTTCAGATTGCAAAATAGGGAAAAAGTGTTTCAGGATTGCGGAATAAGGGGTTGATGTTTCGTATGGTGCTTTTGACTTTTTCGGCTGGAGGGATAAGCCGCCTTATAAACGCATTAGTTTATAACTCGATCCTGGTGTAAAAAAAAAAACTCCGGCGAGATAGAGCTACATTTTCCATGGACTGGCTTGTTTTTTTTTCACCCCCTGCAGGCAAATTTCTCTAAAACTGGGAGGCTGGTGTTTGAGGGGTGCTATGTGGACACGTGATGCTTTGGGGGTGCTGTTCCTCATCCTCCAAGGGATGGTCGAGGCCAGAGGTCAGCCTTTGGGTGGAGCCCAAAGGGGAAGTGGGCGGGGCTCTGTTGTGCTGATAGGAGGGGTCTAAATTCACACACCCCCTTTTTTTCTCTCTTTCCATTTTTGGTTGATTTTTAGCAAGCCGACCCTGTAGTCCTAAATTCTTCAACTCCAATACAATGGTGTGTGTCTGCAACGCAACGTATTGTGACACGGTGGAGCCGGTCTCCCTCCCTGACGTCGGCAACTTTGTCAAGTACACAACCAGCAGGGACGGCCAACGCTTGGAGCGAAGCCAAGGGCAAATCGATGCCAGACCAGGAACTTCAGGTAAACCTGGGGGAGGGGTTGGACTAGATGACCTACAAGATCCCTTCCGACTAGTTAATTCTGTTAATTCTTTCAGCTGGGATGCTCTATGCCTACGACCCCTCCACTCAGTACCAATACATCAAAGGTTTTGGCGGGTCGCTCACCGACTCTGCGGCCATTAACATCCTGAATTTGTCTTATGCCGCCCAGAACCAACTGCTCCAGTCTTACTTCTCTGAAGAAGGTGAGGAAATTGGGAATGACCCGCTGGATGAAAACTAGCAGCTCAGGGAAAGCTAGCATCCTGAGGCTCTGTCTTTCTTAAGTCAAGGATTGAAAACCGGAAAGGTTAGGCTGCGTTTAAAAGCAGAATGACATACCGTCTGAACAATCCAGGAAGTATTTTGTTTTGAAAGGGTGTTTTAATGACTTTATGCACCACCACCACCAACAAGGGAGGTTCTGCTTTTTAATGTTTAATTTGCTCAATTTATGATGAACAAGAATGAAAACCTAGCTGAGGAAGAGAGCAATTCAGCGAAAGTACAGTCCAATGGGAGTGGATCCACCGAAAGGCATAACATGAAAGGAAAAAAGCAAGGGGAGGGGAAAGGAATAAGATGACCTCTGACGAAGGACCACCTTTACGAGATGGTACTGGTGGCATTATCATTTTTTATTTTTATTTTTTGTGGATGTATGTTTTGTATTCCATTTTTTCTTTTTTTTTCCTGATTGTGAAAATTAGACTCCTGGGACACCAGAATCTCTTCCCCTCTCTCGCCCCTTCTGCAGGACTTGAGTACAATTTGATACGTTTTCCCATTGGGTGCTCTGACTTTTCCACGCGGCCGTACAGTTACGATGACCGCTGCGTGGATGACTTTGAACTCAAGTGTTTTGAGCTGGCCCCTGAAGACACCAAACTTAGGGTGAGTTGAGCTAGACTTAACACCCACCCACTGGGGACGTGTGTGTGTGTGTGTTCCAGGCTGTGTTTTAGCAAAACCGCACCCGTCGCAAACAATGATATCACCCTTGCGACTTGTGCCGCAGGCTGGTTTCTGCTGTGCAGCTCAAACAGTGTTTTCCCTGCACACCAATTGGAGGTGTGGGGTCCTTGGTGCTCTCTGAGCTGGGTGGTTTTTTTGCAGACATTTCATTACCCATCTAGGTAACATCATTAGGGCTAGAAGGGAGGGGAGTTTGCAGAGAGAAGCGGAAGGAGGAGGAGGAGGAGGAGGACTGTGGGGTCCTTGGTACTTTCTGGGTTTAGTTGTTTTCTTGCAGACATTTCATTACACAACTGGGTCACATCATCAGTGCTGGACTATTTGTCTGGTATTAATCCCAGCTTATCTGGACATTGACTGCTGCAGAAGATGTCTTGTGGACTTTTTGTTTCCTTCTTAGCTTGTTTCTTGTCTCTTCTGAATGCTGTGTAAATGTGGTTTATCTCTAGGTGCCTGTTGATGGCCAGCCTTGCAGCAATTCCCCAGTATTTTTTTTGGGATTTAGCTCGATCTGGGGTGCTCACGGTTTCCCATATGTTGTGAAAATGTAGAGTTTTCCCTGTGTCTTCTGACTGCCCACCAACCCTGACAGGACTAACTACTGTATATAAACAGAGACTAAACTGCGCTGATGATGTTACGTAGCTGGGTCATGAAATGTCTGCAAGAAAACCAACAAGCTCAGAGAGCACCAAGGACCCCACAATCGTCGTCGTCGTCCTCCTCCTCCTCCTCCTCTCGGCAAACCCCTTTCCCTTCTATCACTGATGATGTTACCTAGTTGGGTAATAAAATATCTGCAAGAAAGTCACCAAGCTCAGAGAGCACCAGGGACCCCACAGTTCAGCCCTGGACTTCTCTCAGTGCCAGATGGAGTTATCAGCTAATTAGTGTGTCAGTCCCGATTTGCCAAAATGCCTTCCCTGAATCTGACCAACCATAACTTGTCATGAGGATACTTGCCCTTTGTTTTTAACGTATCCCTTTAATTGGCCGGGTAGCTAGAATTCTCTGGAAGTACTACAAACTGTGTATTATTATAATAGCATAATGACATAATGAAGCAAACAATCGTTCTTATAATTTTTGACTCAAATTACTCCACGCCCGAGGCCTGTGGTTCAAAATAGGCAGGATAATAAAGTTTTTTTTTCAGCTTTTCAAAAGGAAGGGAACAATCCCGAAATCCCTTAGGCAGCTTCTGCGGCTCAAGGGAGAAGTGGACCCTGGATTGCCCCACAGCTAACCAACCCCTGCCCCATTGAATCGGATTAACTGTCAAATAGCAGGCATGGCAGAAGAGAAAAAGAGGCTGCGGAGGGTAAAGGAAAGATGATATAGGTTCTCCTGCTTGAGCGGGAGGCTGGACTAGAAGACCTCCAAGGTTCCTTCCATATTCTATTCTGTTCTATTCTATTCTATTCTATTCTATTCTATTCTATTCTATTCTATTCTATTCATTCCTTATTCTATTCCTAATTCTATTCATTCCTTATTCTATTCTATTCTATTCTATTCTATTCTATTCCATTCCATTCCATTCCATTCCATTCCATTCCATTCCATCCTATCCTATCCTATCCTATTCTATTCTATTCTATTCTATTCTATTCTATTCTATTCTATTCTATTCATTCCAAATTCTATTCTATTCCTAATTCTATTCCTAATTCTATTCATTCCTAATTCTATTCATTCCTTATTCTATTCTATTCTATTCCATTCCATTCCATTCCATTCCATTCTATTCTATTCTATTCTATTCTATTCTATCCTATCCTATCCTATCCTATCCTATTCTATTCTATTCATTCCAAATTCTATTCTATTCCTAATTCTATTCCTAATTCTATTCATTCCTAATTCTATTCATTCCTTATTCTATTCTATTCTATTCCATTCCATTCCATTCCATTCTATTCTATTCTATTCTATTCTATTCTATTCTATTCTATCCTATCCTATCCTATTCTATTCTATTCTATTCTATTCTATTCTATTCTATTCTATTCTATTCATTCCAAATTCTATTCTATTCCTAATTCTATTCCTAATTCTATTCATTCCTAATTCTATTCATTCCTTATTCTATTCTATTCCATTCCATTCCATTCCATTCCATTCCATTCTATTCTATTCTATTCTATTCTATTCATTCCTAATTCTATTCTATTCCTAATTCTATTCCTAATTCTATTGATTCCTAATTCTATTCATTCCTTATTCTATTCTATTCTATTCTATTCTATTCCATTCCATTCCATTCCATTCCATTCCATTCCATTCTATTCTATTCTATTCTATTCTATCCTATCCTATTCTATTCTATTCTATTCTATTCTATTCTATTCTATTCTATTCTATTCTATTCATTCCAAATTCTATTCTATTCCTAATTCTATTCCTAATTCTATTCATTCCTAATTCTATTCATTCCTTATTCTATTCTATTCCATTCCATTCCATTCCATTCCATTCCATTCCATTC